AGGTCTAATGGACATCAGCAAGCAGCTAGCTCAACAGGTACTCGCCTTGCGATCCTACTTCTTTGAGAAGGCCGAGATCTCTGAGCTGCATCGCATCATATGCTCAATAGATGACACAACGCCCTTACACCTTAGTAGACGAGATGACCAACCGAGTCACCAAACCAACGAACAGAAGCTACAACGATGGATTGAAAAACCTCTACATGGGAGACATGCCAACGAGATTAGCCAAGAAAACGTTGACAAGAAAGCGTCAAACTATTGGCTTACCTCAGGCCAAATGTTCCCTGAGACTGAGGGATTCCTTGTAGCTATACAGGACCAGGTCATTCCTACCAACAATTACAAGAGGTTCATACTTAAGAACTTGCAACAGTCTGATAAATGCAGGTACGGCTGTCAGGACTCCGAAACAATACAGCACGTAACTGGGGATGCCAAGCATTCGCTCCAACGGACTATAAGGCGCCACGACATAGCTGCCAAAATCATTCACCAGGAGTTGGCATACAAATTCAAACTGATCGAATGCAAGCTACAGTACTACAAAATACACCGCAATGTGTCCTCGAGAACGACAAGTATAAACTATACTGGGATCGCACTGTGCTTACGGACCAATACATAAAACAAAACAGACCTGACATAATCATTGTCGACAAGGACGCCCAGAAAGTAACACTGATTGATGTGGCCATACCTAATAGTAACAATTTAACATACAAACATAATGAGAAAGTTGCAAAATACAGGGAGCTAGAATTTCAAATTAAACGCCAGTGGAAATGAAGTACGTGGAAACAATACCAATAATAATGTCATCTACAGGGGTGATACCAAGAAGGCTGCTAGAAAACATCAAAGCGCTGGAACTGAGTGAAAACATTTACAAAATCATACAGAAAGGAGTTTTGCTGGCAACTGCCCGCATAGTAAGAAAATTTATGGGAATGCAAGTACCTAGGGAGGTCACTATTGAGGCTTACCCCTTTGATGCTTGAAGCGTCCGGGTTAAGCCAGAACACCCCGATTAACGGGAGTAACAAAGCCCTACGGCTATAAAAATAATAATAATAATAATAATAATAAAATAATAATAATAATATAATAATAATAATAATATAATAATAATAATAATAATAATAATAAAATAATAATAATAATAAAATATATAATAATAATAATAATAATATAATAATAATAATAATAATAATAATAATATAATAATAATAATAATAATAATTAATAATAATAATACTAATAATAATAATATATATAATAATAATAATAAATAATAATAATAATATAATAATAATAATAATATAATAATATAATAATAATAAATAATAATAATAATAATATAATATAATAATAATAATATAATATAATAATAATAATAATAATAATAATATAATAATAATAATATAATATAATAATATAATAATAATAATAATATAATAATAATAATAAATAATAATAAAAATAATAAAATTGACAACGTGAACGTCATATACACCAGAATAGCTCAAGAGCATACTCTAAGTATTCAAGACATTAATGACCTGATGTACGCTGCTGCCGCTGTAATTGCAGGTGAAGTAGAACACAGAACAAACACTGTACGAGATACAAGAGAGCCGTCATGGAAGATCAGAATAAAGAAGCATATAGATGCATACAGATCGGAACTAGCAATATTACATGAATATAGGAAAGGAGTCCCCACTTATAACATTCTAAAGAAAACGGAACAAATATGGCAACGCTACAACTCGTACACCAACATAGATGAACTTGAGTTAAATATAAAAATGAAAATGGAAGCAAAATCACAAAGGTTAAAGCGATATACGGAACGAAGCAACTATTATTTTCACAATAAGACTTTCAACTCTGACGCAAAAAAATTCTTCAGACAAATTAATGGACAAAGGAATGTTAGCAATGAACCACCGACACCGGATGATATTGCTAGCTTTTGGAAAGGTATATACCAGAATAAAGCAAGCTTTAACAAGAATGCTGAGTGGATAAGGCAAGAAGAAAGCAAATACCAAAGTATTGAAGAACAACAGTACGTCAAGTTAACGACACCAGAAATAACCACAATAATAAAAGGCACAGATAATTGGAAAGCACCGGGACCAGATAGGTTGCAAAACTTTTGGATCAAAAAATTCTCAGCCCTTCACAGCGCAATGACAGCTGCCATCAATCACATTATTGAACATCCAGAAGATGCACCCTCATGGCTCACATCCGGAACTACAGTGCTCTTATCCAAAGGAAAGAATACGAAAGACCCCAAAAATTATCGCCCTATAACGTGCCTGAGTACAATGTACAAGATAATTACAGCAGCGTTAGCTAACAGGATTAACGAACATCTACTTAACCACAACATTTACCCTGACGAGCAAAAAGGAAGCAGGAAAGGAACAAGAGGGTGTAAAGATCATCTTTTAGTCAGCAAAATGGTAGTCAGTGTGGCAAAAACACGAAGGAAAAACTTATGCATGGCCTGGATCGACTACCGTAAAGCGTTTGATAGTCTACCGCATGAATGGATTATGAAAGTACTGCAACTATATCG